GGAAAAAAAAAAAAAAAAAAAAAAAAAGATCTCATAGGTGAAAGTAGTGTTTAAGCTTTGTTTTTCAAAAACCAAATGTTTATCCTGCGGAGACTCGGCTATATTGATCCAAAAATACCAAAGTTCATAAAAAAATCGTATTACCTCATAGCATAGAGGGTCAGCTTTGATAGCAGCTTTGTACCTAAACATATTATAAAAAATTAGAATAATAAATGACATCATCCATTCCTTATTTGAAGTTGCATAGTTTTAGCTGAACTATATAGGTTTTAGGGGAAGGGGGGAAGATAAGAAATAAAAGGACGTCCATGGAAGAAAAAATGTAAACATAAACTCACCAAAGTCGAGCCTGCGTGCGGTTTTCCAGAGCTTCATATGCCTTGCCTCTTAAAAAGCATGTTGCTGCGGCTATCTGTTACAAAATGGGAAAACAGAGAACCCACTGTGAAATGAATGACCAATCTAGGATCTAACCATCGAGAAATTAATTAGGCGAGGTTATTTTTACATGAAATGTTAATTTAAAACAAGTTGAAATGATGTAACAGCACATTACATTAATCTCACGATCCTCACAATCTTTGTCAAGGTACATGCCACTGTGATCCTTGTTATCAAGCACGTAACCATGCTCGTTCACTTTGGCATCACCAAGCATCGCTAGGCATTGGTCCCACTCCTTCAATTCCTCCTGGTCAATCGACAATTTGAGAACAAATGAGATGTATGGAAAGCATAAAATTTAGCTACACGCCCCAAAACTTCCTAGAGGACTCCAAAGTCGATTGCACGGACAGAACAGACACGCCAGGAGTTCAATTTTCATAACAAATTAATGCCGAAACTTTTGCTTCCCCACCTGAAAGGAAACACCTATACTCCGGTATTCATATCTTTCTACTGCCAAAGACTGATCCAAGTCAGGCTATTTCCCACTTGAATACAATTCACAAGAAAAGTCACCAACTTATCGAATCGGGCGTACAATGAACACAAAACACAGATAAACAGTGAAGTTCGGAGTAGCTTACAAGGCACTTGGCAGCGAGGTAGCGAAACCGAGGGTCACGGAGGACGATCTTGGAGGCATTGAGGAGGTGAAACGCACGGCGAAAATGGCGTCCAAGAAAGAGGGCCTGCGCCTGCATGTAAATATCCGCAGGGTCCTCAGTGAAAGCGGCGACTTTGTCGGCGAAGAAGATGGCGGAGGAGTAGAGATGCTTGCTCACACAGTCCCTTACTACACCTCGGAGCTTCTCGATTTCTTCCTCCCTCATTCTCAAGGATTTTGTTGGCGCAGAAGAATGGAGATTTGTGGAACAGGAGAATTGAAGAGGACGAGTTCTTCCGCTGGCGCTGGGGTTTTGGCAGAGTCGGGAGACTACTCGAGGGAAAATAGAATGGAAAATGGGCGGGAGGCTTGGTTGGGCTTGGAGTGGCCATTAAACTTTAAACACACATAATTCGTGATCTCCTAATTAAATACATATTTGTTTAATTCGCGATAATATAATATTATATCAACCTAATTTTTAAAACAACAATATTTTTAAAAAAATATATATTAAAATACAGTATTCCACCCATAAAAATGAGTTTTAACTTACTCTTGACTTAAATATTAACATCATGAATATTATAATATATAAGTAATAATATATATATTAAGCCCTAAAATTCATTGTTTGACATTCAAATTTATATTAACCAAAATAAAATTTAAAAGAGAACCAGTTAGAGAGCAAAGATTGCTGCACTTCTTCGAGTGGAAGGTTAAGATTACAAAATTTAATCGATTTTTTTTAAGTTTATGAAGTAAACATAGTTGGCATAAATCGAGCTATTATTTTGGGTATAACTTCAATTTTAATTGGTTTGAAATTATTTAACAATCATCGAATAATCATCGACAGCGCTGTATCCAACTACGAAAGAAAAAGGTAAGGTAACCTTGACATAAAATACATGATTAAGCAATTCATTGAGAAAAATACATGACTTAAGAATATGAATATATATATATAATAGAATGAAAAACAAAATAAAGTTGGGTAAAATTCAAGTAGTAAGATATATAATTAGCAACTACAAATTGAAGCGAAGCAAAATGATTACCCAATTAAAGAAACAAATCATTAGCCACTCGTAGTGTATGTATAGAGCAGAATATCACATACCTAACTTAAGCAAATTTTTAGAAATAAAAATTATTCTTAAAGAACTTTAACTAAAATTGAGGACATTTACCGTAGAAACCAAACTTGAAATGGACACAACAGCAACCACAAAACAATCATGTGGCTGTTACTCCTCTTCTGTAATACAGCAAGATTGAAGGTCTTGGGGATATCTTCCTTTTCCTTTAACCTCCTCTTTTTTGTTCTCGTCTCTCTTCAAAAGAAAAAAAATTATTACAGTACATAGAATCCAAAATCATTTCGAAAGATTATCGAAGTTAGCTCGAGCAACATTTGATTCTGTTTAAACCCGATTCGTCTCTGATGTTTATTTTCTCCCCCTGGGCAGGGACAGAGGAAGCAGATCCGTTTTCTCCACCTTCAACAGCCTTCTTGCTTACTATGTGATAGATCTGAGTCAGGACCTCGGCGAATGCTTTTTCGACGTTGACTGCTTCCAGTGCAGAGGTTTCTATGAAGTACAGTGATTCCCTCTCAGCGTACGACTTTCCATCCTCGGTTGGAACAGCCACAAGGTGGCGAAGATCAGATTTGTTTCCAACAAGCATCACAACAATGTTGGAATCTGTGTGGTTCTTCAATTCTTTTAGCCACCGGTCCACGTTCTCAAATGTTGCATGACGAGTAACATCGTATACAAGGAGTGCACCAACTGCTCCACGATAGTATGCGCTGGTGATGGCACGGTACCTATACATACAGAAAGCCACACAGATCTGAACAGCTCATTCAATCTTTCTAAAAAATAACAGGTGGATTCACTCCAAATACTAGTTTGGCTCATTATTGCCGAGTTAATGGTCTACTTCTTCACATTTACCATGCAATGTATGCCATTATTGATAGACAAAAGAATCATAAAGAAGGTAAACTAGATCATAAGATCCGTCCATGAGACTTGTATTGATGAACGATGATGAGATCTTCTCAACAAAATTTGGAAAAAATTACAACCCTTTTCCTATTCAACGCCACCACAGGAATTGCAATTTACTAATCAACATTCATAGGCTACACGTACAGAGAAAACAAAAAGTAAAATTATAGTTGATGAAAAGCACATCAAGAATAGCAGATCACTTCATTTCCTTTGTCAGATGCTAATCTTATGAAGGAAGAGTGCTGTGGAATGATAGGGCAGATTCATAATTGTTATGAAGTGACACATTTTTTGGGGGGAAACCAGTACATGCCGTAAGCATATAGTCGAGTAAATGCAATCCATATATAGAAGGTCCAGTTTTTAGGAGAGCTTGAGCTAACTTGAGAAGGAATAAAAGTTCATAACAGTGACAATATAAGCCCAAGAACCTATGACAAAGTTTGACACTCGACGAAACAATCCCAGAACATGACATTGTTTCTCTTTTTAGTATGAGATTATAAGCTACTTCTAGGTAATACCAGTTCGAGCTGCCCCTAAAATAGGGTATGAAAATCAATGCCATTGGATGCGTTCAATATCCCTACTTACCCAACACATTATATAAATTGCAATGACATGCAACGAAATCTTTTGTCATATGATCTTTTTCCTCTTGTAGGCATCGCAATAAACAGAAACCAAAAAGTAGAGGAGGTACCATACATGAAAGAAAATTTTAACTGATTCCCCATTTGGAAGATAGGAAACGAATTCCTTTAGAAAGAAGCCAAGTGCCTTTGTGCTTTATCGGGGGACAAGGGAAAGAATAATGGGAGGAATCAAAGCTTCCTGTTGCTAATATAAATTATAAGAGATTTATAATAGAAATGGCTCAAAGCACACGATCTACGAAACAGAATCCAAAGTCTTCGTGAACAAGGATCTGCTCAGACAATTCCAAGTCCCCAACTATTCCATTAACTTCTATTAAATGGATTCTTCAAGGCCTGCTGAATCTAACTTTTCTAACCATCACCAAACAGCTTTATTACACAAACAACCGTAGAAATTGAAGAACAAAGCCACAACATCACAGTAAAAATACATCAAAACCAACTTCGCAAGCATTAAACACTCAATTGAACCATGAGAACACAAAATTAAGAAGAAAACACAGTTTATATCGATCAGATCTAGGTCATTACACAGCACACTCGGCAAACCGGAACATGCTAATTAACTAAACCCCAGAAATCAGGACACTCAAACAGCAAGCAACAACCAGAAACCAAACCACTAACACGAAAATGAACAGGAAGCAAAACCAAGGAGAAGGCAAGAGAAGGCAAGAGAAGGCGAGAAATCCAGAGAAGAGAAGAAGGAAAGAAAACCTTTCTTGGCCAGCAGTATCCCAAATCTGAGCTTTGATAACTTTACCATCGACGTTCAAGGTCCTGGTGGCGAATTCGACACCAATGGTGGATTTAGACTCGAGGTTGAACTCGTTCTTAGTGAATCTGGAGAGCAAATTGGACTTGCCGACACCGGAGTCCCCAATCAGAACCACCTTGAATAGGTAGTCGTAATCATCATCAGCTCTGTAACCAGCCATTGTTGCTTCGATTTCCCTCAAAACTTTATAGATTAAGGAAGAAGAAGAAGAATAGCAGAGAGGAGGAGAGAGGAAAGATCGAAGAAATGCAGTACTCAAGTGGGGGAGGAAGTGTGTGAAATCAATAAAGGTGGGAAGAAATGGAGACGAAAAGAAAAAAGGGGAAAAAAAGCGGGGGAAGTTGTGAGGGAAGGTCCATGTTTTGCTTATTGTGAACCTGCACGCTCTTTTGATCGGACGTCTCTGATTCAATTGTCGTTTTCCTTTCCCGAAATTTTCATTTTCTGAACAAATGTCCGGATGTGAAGCTTTTTGTCTGTATTTCAATTTTATTTCCCTCAAATTTTAATTTATTTTTGTTAAAAATATATTATTTCAAATCTTTTTTTATTTTTAATATAGTTTAAAAAATGGATAACTTTTCAATAAATTTAATAATATTTCATAAATAAAATAAAATATAATTTTTAAACGAATTAAAAAAAAAAGTTCAATTTTAATATTACAATTCTCCACTTCATTTCGGGCACGATAAATGTCTTGAATTAGTATTAAAGAGCATAGTACATGCAAGAACACTATAAACTTTGTTAGGGTTGAATGTCTCTGGCCCAATATCGAAGAGTGTTGTAGCTACACGAAAACTCTTTGATATAAACCAAGGACATCAATCATACAATATATTTCAATGAAGATGCGAAGAAAATGCAGTTTAAATTATTGAAAGATATTTCGATTCATGCCACGTTGAAGAATAATGAATGTATTTGAAGACATTCTATTTACTTTTACATCATAGTTAATTATGACTATAAAATATGAATATTACTGCTCTTGTAATGCCTTTAAGAGTTTCATTTTCTTAGGCTGTATAAAGTCATGTATGTTGTATTTGTAAGTAGACTTGGAAAATATAGTAAAAAAAAAAAAAAAAAGCATTTGTGCTTTCTTTAGCCAATGGCTAAGTTTCTTTACAATTCCATGTAGTTTAGGTGGCAAGTTGAATCATTCAAACTCGACATGATCAATCTTGCTTGTGGAGTGATTCAAATCTCAAACAATTGTTCTTGAGTTGAGATATTTGATCAACAAGAATCATTCAAGTTAGATATAATCGATCTTACTTGTTGAGTGATTCAAATTTCAAATGATATTCTTGCATTGAGATATTCGATCAACAAGGTAATCGAAATCTTACTCCTCTTGTAGTGATTTCCACATATCACTCTCGATCGCATCTATGGGTCCTATATAATACGTCCAAAACTAATAGTAGGAGGGAGGGAGAGATGTCAAATTTAGTCTTTAATATGATTGGGTAGTGATGCCTTACGATATAACTATAAGATCTTAGTGTCAATATCGCCCCACATTTCAAATTTTGATTAATCAACATTAAAAAGAGTTAAATAGTTTTGTAAAGGATTGAACCCATCAAATAAATTAAAATTAAAGGTATACCCAATAAATTAATTAACATTAAATATATTTTAATAATTTAACTTAATATAAATAAATTAACCAATAATAATAAATTATCTAAAATTAACTAATTGATTAATTAAATTGATGGAAGTAATTTCATAATCTTTCTCGTTATTTTGGGTGGCTAACTTCCTAATCACTCCAACATTAACATTCTTTTTACTTTAATAACTGTTTTTTAACGGTCTCCAAATATTTAAAAATCACATTTTGACCCCTTTAAATATTCCATTTTGCATTTTCCGAACGTTCCTAATCTAAAAGGCGCGCTATCGATACCTTCGTGGTACTCTGCAACACTCTGTCTTCGTCTTTGCCGAGTAAGTTTCTATTCTCCCTGTCCCTCCGATGCCAATCTCCACCGAATCTTCTACTCCCTCCTCCTCTTGCTTCATCAAATGCGCCACTCCGACGATTCCGAGTGTTCAACTCGTGTCGAAATCGGTGTCGGATCGGCTTCTCGGCAAGTTCTTTGACGCCTCGCAATTCGACTTCGATTACGAACAGAGTAGCTTGTGGTCTCCGCCGATTCCGCGGCGAGTTTTTTTGGATTCTCCGCTCGATGTTTGCTCCGGTTATGAGGTTCTCTCGAAGCTTGAGAAGGCGAAGACGGCATGGAGGAAATTCGTAATCTGTTTTAGAGTAAGTGCTCTCACGATCGCATTCTGATTTTACTCCGTGATTGCTGTGTTTCGTTTTCGTGATTCCGAACTCGAGTTGCTTTAATGTGAAAAAACCTGAGGCTGCTTTAGATTTTTTTGAGAAAATTTGAAGAAATTGCCTTCAATTTCCATAATGAACTTACTGGCAAAGAATTTTTAGTCATGAATCTGTTTCAGAGTAAGTGTATACGATCGCATTGTGATTTACTTTAGTGGTTGCTAGGTTTTCGTTTCTCTAGTTCGAAATCGATTTGCTGTAATGTGCAAGAACTGAGGTCGATTTAGGATTATTTGAGAAAATTGGAAGAAACTGCGTTCGATATGATTGAAACAACGCATTCGCAGCAGAGAATTTTATTCAAGCGAACGAGAAATCGAAGCGAAAAAGAAACGGAAAGACTATTATTGACTTAGAAATTAGAATCATACATAAACCGATATTATCTCTTTATTGTTTACAAGCATGATTTTCCTTTTCTGTCCACGAACACGAACTTCAAAATTGTCTCAACTGAATTATACATCCGATCCTCCGTGGTGTTTATATGCGTGAAGATACGGAAACTATCTTGTTATTGATTGTTGGATTCTAATTAGAAAATTGTGATGTTTATGGCAGGGATTTTGGTGTTCTTGGAATCCCTGATTCGACCTAACAACTTTTGAGCAATTCTCTCCCACTGTGCTACAAGGCCGCGATTGAGAACGATTGAGGAAAAGAAAAAAGAAGAGAAATTAGGTTTTTCTTTTGAGTATTCAGTTAATTGTATTCTTACCATTGAAGAAAGAAAAGAAGAAGAAATCAAAATCCACTAATCTTATATGAATTTAAATTACTTCCATTTGTGATAATCATGGAACAAATGAAGAACATGAACTACAGTTTAGAATTTGAATTTGGTGTTATACAGCGACCCTTCAATCTGAGACAGGCCCAGTACTCCAGCTTGGAAGCGGATATGCCGAACAGAAAAACAAAGGGGAATTTCAGAGCTCTGCAATTGTCTGTGGAGGTAAGGCCAGAATATCTGCCTTTGCTTTTTGGAATAAGCTAAAACTAAAAGCACATATGGAACAAACAACGCAAACCCCATGCATTGCTTTTGCTTCTTTTTGTGATTATAATCCTCCTTTTGTCTGTTGTAAGCTTGGATTAGATTCCTTTCAATTTGATTTCGTATTCCTTTTGCTCATCATCATTCATATTCATACATAAATGTTGACAACCCAATTCAGAAAGCTTTTCGTTTTCTCTGTTTTTTTGCTGTTCTTGAATTCAAGCTACCAATTCTTACGCACCCATTTGGATACTTTTTTTAGGTAAGGTTTATAGCATTTTATCTGAAATGCTATTATAGTTTACCTATATATCATATTTTATATTTTATATTTTATTATCATATATTTTTGTTATTTTTATTTATTACTCTTTCTATGTCCTTATAATTTATTTGATTATAAATATATAAGTTTCACACTATTTATGTGTGGTGAATTAAGTAAACATTCTCTATAAACACCTAAACAATAACCAGGTTGGGGAATAACAATTGTGTCCATTTTACTTTTTATTTTTAGAATCAGAATTCAAGGCATATTAACGTTCATTTACGAAAACTTTCCATTTGCTAGAGTATGATAAAACTTAAATGAACACTTAGACATAATCAATAAAACTTAAATCAACACTTAGACATGTTTTGTTATTATTATTAAAATTGTATGCGTCACTACCTTTGTCTATTGAAATTTGATTTGAACCAATATATATAGTGGACTATAAATGAAATTTTGATTAAAATTAGTTGATTCTCTCAAAAATATTAAATTATTTTGAATATGGCAGAATATTTAATCTCTTTCTCGTGGGTAAATAAATTAGATTTGTTATTTTAACTTAAATTATATTTATATATATATAAATGCCAACCAATTGTAAGAATGATCAGTTTAAATAGTTTTGTTATAAATAGTTGTAAATATATAATTCTTTAGTATAAGGTCGAATCATCAATTATAAATAACAATAAATAAATTACTATATAAACATTATAAATGCAAAATAATATTTGATATAAAGTGGAAGTGAGAAAAAGGCAACCAAAACAATCCAAAATTGAGTATACACGTTTCAATGATTTGCAAACCGAAAGTTTCAATAAATCATAATTATTCACTTTAAATTCTAAATTTTATTTAAAAAAATATATATATATACCCACACGAAAAGCCGTTGAAATAATAATAATGTTGGATATCATCCAATAATAATTATTTTTATTTAATTTCTCTTTTTAGAAAACGACATATTCCCAATCACGAGAAAAAAATTTAGAAATTATTTTTAATTAAATTATATTTATTTTTAACTTTAATAATTTCTTACGGAAGAGAGACTTATAATAGGTATGTTAATATTTTTGGCACAAGCTCAAATTAAAATAAAATAAAAATTATTCCATTCAAGGGTAAAAATTATAAATTTATAAAATTTGAAGTGCAATACACAATTTTAAAGAATTGAAAGTACTAAACTTTAATTTAATTAAAACAAATCTATGGTACACTAAAAGCCATCATCATCACATTCCCCAATAAAACATCTCTGACAGAAAATAGGGAAATAATAATATAGGCTTGGCCTTAGTTGCAAATACTTTTTCCTAAGGGACCATTCTGCAAAAACAATTGTGGGACCCAAGTTCAACTTTTTTTTATAAACAATTAAATTTTGTACCCCAAAGAGAAAAATAATCAAAATTTGTAGCTCACAGAGCATCCAAAGTCAATAACTTTTTCAGATCATATAATTATTTGGGATTTTTATTCCATCTATTTTCAGCCTACTTTTCATTTCTACATTATAATTATTATTGTTTTTTTCAATATATTGTCATCATTATAATTTAATACTTGGTTTGAAAAAACAAATATTTATGATATGTAAATTTATTATCTATCTACCTCCAAGCTAAATTTGAATTTTATTTTGGTCTATTTAGTATTATTA